TTTACTTCTTTAATTTCATTAACAAAATCACAAACATACACAAAAATATTACAACCGAATATGAAGAATGCCTTATTCAAAAGTTTTAATGGTAAATCAATGGCAGACTAAAAAAAAATTAATGATATATGCCCATGTTTATAATTAAATTTACGTGGTTATTCGTATAGGATTAAAACTTTATTGTTAATTGGATGTTCATATTTATTATAATATATGGTGTGTTGCTATAAGTAAAATTCTATTGTCAATAAAAAATATAAAATTTTTCAAAAGAATTATAAATTATTTTACGTATACATTTTTTTTCTAAACAAATATATCTAATCTAATTTAATGTGACATATAATCTAATCACAATAATATCTATTTGTCACGTACGTGGCTCGACACGTGGCGAAAAACTGGAATGCCAAGTGTCGCTGTCTCGAGACTTGGCTGCGAGACCGACTTTATTTATTAGTGATATGATATGATGTGATGTGTTGGAACTATTTGAAAGCTAGGTGTGTTGCACAGCTGAACTCTTTGAAGGCTAGTTTTATGCTCGGGCGATGCCTAGGTGGTTGATAAAATGTTAAGATAATATTTTTACTTGAATGTTAAATACGATCAATAATTCGTTCTGATAATGTAGGATATTTAGACATACAATATCATATGGCTTATATTTATATGATAGTGTACTTTTTGTAGTTTTGTTTGTAAGTAAATATCTATGACTTGAAATTATTTTTATTGAACTTAAATTATTTTTACTGAACTGAAAGTATTTTTACCAAACTAAATTTATTTTTTCTGATTAAAACTTATTTTTACTAATTCTCTAATATTTTTTTAAAAAACAAATTAAATAACAATGTATTTTGTATGCGGCTAGCCACACCATCTGGCCGGACAAAGTAACCCCTATAAAATTGACCAAGTAACTCTTGTAATACTAATTGAGTAACCTCTAACACTAACTAAGTAACCCCTATCTATAACACTGATTGAGTAACCACTATAAAACTGATTGAGTAACCACTCTAACACTGACCAAGTAACCCTTATGGCACTAACGAAGTAACTCTTGTAATAGTTGGTGACGCGCTTTGGCCAGCTACGTATAAAAGTTTGTGATTAAATATATTATAAATGAATCTTATTTTAAAGAACTTTTTAAAACGAATTTGATTATGGAAATAGAATTGAGTTACTGAACATTTATTAAAAGTTATGATTAATTTTGTATATATAAAATATAGAATTTTGTCGATAATAAAACTCTATACAATAATTTTATCTTAAAAAATCTATCCAATAATTGCTTACTTACCATCACACGTGTCAGAATAATACATATTTATCTCATACATGGCGCAACACTTGACGAAAAAGTAAAATGTCAAGTGTCGCTATCTCGTGGCCTGACTGCAAAACCGACTTTATTTATTAGTGATATAATTAGCAATATTAATTTAACAAGTTTGGCCCAAGTTATCTTCGCTTGGGCCATTATACATCAGATCACGATATTCCCTTATCTCAAAGCGTTTATACATCATCTCAACTTAAACATGTAAGCAATTAATTGTAAAAGCTAACTAACATCAAATTTTTTTTATTTTTTTTTTTTTTTTATTTTTTTTTTTTACGAATACTAGTGGTATATCCTGATAAAATTGACTTAATTGTTTAAATTTACACGTTTGATATTTATAAGTTTAAAACGATCAAACTTAAATGATTTATCATGAGAAGCTAATTGTTTATAGACCAAAGTATAGAGCTAGGAATGCACCGGGCCAGGCCAGGCCAGGCCGGGCAATAGCACATGTTGAGCCAGCAAGTTGTGCACTTGTGCCTGGATTGGCCAAGGAAAAGTGGAGTCTTGAAGATTTTCTAAGCCCATACACAATCCATGTGTCATGACGTAAGCAAATATGTTAGTAATTTTTAGATTTTTTGTCAACTACTACTCTATTTGTTTTAGTAATTAACACTCTTTGACTATTTTCACTATTTATGTATCAATTTTTACTATATTTCATTTATTTAATGTTAAATTTTACACAAAGTTTCATACGTGGCTGGCCACACCATGTGGTCGGGGTTATATGTTTGGGGGTTACTCGGTTGGTCATGAGTTACTTAATCAGGAGTTACTTGGTTAGGGTTACTCGATCTGTCAGAGGTTACTCGGTCAGGGGTTACTTAGTCAGGGGTTACTTGATCAAAGGATTACCCAGTCAGTGTTTGGTGTGTGTCAGCCGATCACACGATTTGACCAGCCACACAGATTAGCGTTGTAAATGTTATAATTTTAACTTTTTTTAATAGTTTTTACTAATGTTTAGTTATATATTGTCATGTGTTTCAATTTTAAATAATGCATTAGTTATTCTATAACATAAGGAGTAAAATAAGAATTGGCTACGTAGCAGCTTAACATGTTTGTTTGTCCCAAATTTAAAATGATGTCCATCCAATGCCCATGACCCACTGGCATGTCGCGTCAAGCTAATTTCATGTCGTGCAGTCTCATGAAATTAAATTAATATGAAATTAAATGACACATTTACCCTTTTAATATTATGAACCACTAAGCATTTATTATAAAGAGTTTTCTATTTAATTTTTGGTGCAAGAGAGGTAAGCCGTAAGCCCAAAAGATTTAAAAACAACCACAAGAAAAGAAATGAAACAGGAAAACTAAACTAGCTAGAAAAAAAAACCTAACAAAGATGAACCAATATACATATTATTTCGTGGTGCCATTCTTTGACATGCCACCGGGATCGACAACCTCAAATTTTTTTAATCCGAATTAATTCCATAGTTTGCTAACCAATCTACTGCTCAATTAAATTCCCTATAACAATGCATGTGACTATGTGAGCATGTCTAATTGAAATCTCACTTTCCCTTTTTGAGATGATAGATTTGCATTAAAGGTTTATAGGCTCTTGTTTTAGTGCCTTTGAAAGTTCATGTTTGCTTCCTTAACGGTTCAACCTTATATGCTTTACTTTACCACAAACCTATAACTCTATAAATCATGCGAGTTTACTACTTCCGATCCAACTTATTGATCGACTTTGGGCTTGCCTCCTTGATATACATAGATTTAGTAACAGAAAATTTGGCGTTTTCATAATATTTTGGACCATAATCTTTAAAGGCTATAATATTGGCAATGCTTTATTCTATAAATTCTATAAACCTAAATTAGCCTATCTAACCCCTTTTTTTATGCAATGATGAATACACAAAGTCCTGGATAGGTTGTTCAATAGCTCTTGTCTCACCTTATTTTTTCATGTATTCATTAAAATTCAACATTTTAAGGATTTGATTTTATTCACTCTATGTTAATAATTATATATATAAACCATTTATTTCATTGTTAATATGACAATTGAATTGATATGTGATTGTCTCTTCTTTTTGTTCCTTTTTAAACTACTAATTATGTCTAATTAAGCACTTTTAAGCTTCAAGTTTTGTACATGATGGGATATTCTTAGTATTACGAAGGGACAAGAGTGAATATGCACTTTAATGTTTACTGGAAAGCTATGACACCTTTCAAAATATTAGCGCATATTAAACACTTGGTTATTTTTGAAAGATAGGTCTTGCTTCAGTAAATAAATTTTCTTTCTTATATTTTTACTTGCAATACTTCTCATTTCATACATGTCAATGCATTATTTCAATAACTAAAATCTCAAATTATCAATATTTCAAATCAATAAAAATTTGATTCTATAAAAATATGGGATATATAATTGAAAATCACAAAACAAGAGAATAGGTCAGGTGAATTCTTTTGAAGTTTGATGATAACTATTAAAGTGAATTGAGAGGTAATATAAAAGTTATTGCATGAATACTATGTCTCAGGGTGTAAACTTTCATGTACTTCACCAATTACAAATAACAAAAGTACACGTACACCATTGTTGACATAAAAAACTTTTATAGAATAGTCAAGTTACATGTAGCCTATTCATTAACATGTAACTTTCTAGTTCTTTTGAAGTGACAAATAATTTAGGGTTACTAAGTAGTGCCCAACCCTCAAGACCTCAAAACAACTTTTTAATGAGGACATTATTATTCCCAATAGCTTATGATCGAATTGTAAAACATTCAAGTTGGCCCCACTTAAATTTCCATTAATAACCAATACAAGACCCTAATGATTCAATGAGTAGTTTTCCTTGATTTAATTTGTCATCTTTTACGATAAATAAACTAAGCTAGTCATATATATTATATGTACTCCATAACTTATCTATCACCACTTAACAATAATAAATGTGGTTGAGGTTAGAACCTATCACTATCCTGTCTGATAGAAAATATACACCGAATATTGTCGCAATATATTTATTTCGTATAGATATTATTCATAATATGTATTGTTTTCTAACATAGTTAATTAGTTCAATTATTATTGTAACTTTGTGTACAATCATTAATGGACATCACTCCAAGGAAGGAAGATTTACACATTCAACCAACACCATCAAATTAAACTACGGAGTATATTGTATTACTTTTGTATTGAGTCTGGCCTATATAAACTTTTTTATTTGAATTGAATTGAAGGAAATGGCCTAGACCAATTTTAAATTTAATTTGGGTAAGAAAATCATGAAATTATGTGTATCATCTTCGATTAGTAAATCGTGTTACTTTACTTTTGTATTAGACTATTATTGTATATATTTGATATATATTTTGTTTGTCAAGTGTTGTCAAATCTTTTATATTAGCATTCTTAATAAGAGAACTAGCTTAGATTAAAATTTCCTTTTCTTATATTCTAACAAACACCAATATATGATTATTTAAAAAAAAAATAAAAATAAAGAAAAAGAAAAAAAAGAAAAAAAAAAAAAAGGGAATTTAGATCAATGATCTCCTAACTCCTAAGTCAGCTAGGAGCGACCTCAGCGATACTTGATAATAATGCATGTAACTATGTCACTAGAACTAAACCTTACCACTAAACCAAAACGTGCACATTTAATATTGTATATAAAAAGTTAAACAAGGGTGCAGTGACAAATCTTCTTCTATTTGTTCTTTAAATTAATGGAAAACAATGATCTTGATGATCATAATGCTAAAACATTACATCTCTATAATAGTACAAATCAAAATACACCTTAATAATTATGATTAAAAAATAATAATCATTATTATATACAACAATAACATCAATTATAAGTACTTAATTAAAGCCTCAAGGACAAATCAATATCCTCTTTGGTAGAACCATAGTTAATGTCCCTTCTCCCATATTCAACCATTTGAGCACTTCCAAAATTGTACTCAAACCTTTGCTCCCTATATTGCCTATGAGCATAAGCATGGAGTTGATGTGTATCCATAGCCGCCATACGACTTGAATCGAAGTTATTAGCCTTATGATCATTAACAAGTTGAGAGTTAAGTAGCTTACTCTTCTTGGCTAAAGTACGCTCAAGCTTATGAGCATTTTGATGACCCCCTAAAGCTTGGGAGCTATAAAACTTTCTCTTACAATAAGTACAAGAGAACACCCTAGCCTCACTAGCCGGGCTCGTGGGTAAAGATGATGACATAGACGATGATATCGATTGGTCAAGGACGAGGTTGAGGTTGATCAAGTGAGGAAGATCATTAGATGATGAAGTACAAGTGTTTTGGTGAAGTGAAGTTTTGAGCTCAAAATCCATATATATGCTATAAATAAATAAGATTAGCAAGTAAATATGATGAATAAGAATATAATTAAGAGAGAGTTAATAATTAATGAATAGTTAGAATGAAATAAAGATGAAGAAAATAAAAGTGGTTATAAGTTAGGGAGAAGAATATGAGTGGAGATGTAATATATAGAAGAAGAAAAGGGAGAGAAGAAAGGTTAAGGTTTCTAAAAATAGAAAGAGATAAAATTTTATGTGAGTTTAAGTGAAAAATTAGAGAAAAGAGAGAAAGAGCGGCAAGTGTTGTCGGCTCTACTAATGGCATAAATTGGACCCCACTGTCGGCTAATGGTCGTAGAGAGAGATATTAATTACATACTATATACATTGATTTATTGTTAATTAATTGTTATAATTAATTAATTAACTTTTACTCGGTAAATGTTGAGACATGAGGATGCAAGAATCTTTACATAATAACTCTAGCTACTTGTTTATTTTATAACATTGTGGTGTTTGGAGATTGAGTTTGTCATATGATGGATTTTTGTTTTTTTTTCAAATTCCGTAGGATTTGGTCTTGTTTTCCCTTTATTTTATAGGAAAAATTATTGTACTATATGTTATGCAAATTATGAAAAAATCATGAGAATGTTATGCAATCAATAAACTAATTATGATATACTTATTTTTATACACCAAGCCATTGAGGTAAATACAGTATATGGATCTACTATGTAAGTCTAAGTTACTAAGGCAAAATTCTATACCAAAGGATTGTTCTCTTCAGTTATATTAAGGTGTTCGATTTTATATTTGAATGTGTGTGTATTTTGGTTTGTTTAAAACATTAAGTATGATTAGGTTAGTTATATGTCGTCTTGTTTGAGCTTAATTTTGGGTTTGATTATATAACTGTGATAAATTGTACATATAACTATATAAGAGGTTGAACTTCTCACACTACTATATGAGTTATGTACGCTCATTAAGAAGTTTGCTAACCTAGTTTGCAATTTCTAACAAGTTCAACACCAATTTATTTTTTTTTTTTATTTTTTTTTTGACAAAGAGTTCTATAAATGAAAAGCATGATTACAACCTAAACTAAGTAAAGAAAGCAAGCTTACACGATAGAACATTGGGGGTCTGACCATACAACTTCTTACGATTAGGAAACCAAGTATACCCGGTGAGACATGATACTATTCTTTTAAAGCCGCTTAACCTGCAAAACAAAGAGTTAGAAAAAAAAACTCAGGAGACCTATTTTGCAGAGTGGCATATTTCCTTCTAAACCTAGGACGAGGAGACGAGACAAAACCCAACAATATATCAGAGGAGGACGTTGCTGGGTGAACGGAAGTCTGTAGAGGGGAAGTCGGCGTAATTGGGAGGAGTGTTGACGTAGCAATAATTCTTCGTGTTTGAGACATTAGTTCAATGCTAGCTAATTAATGTGAATTTGCTCATTTTCAATGGCCGATCCTTACAAAAAAAACTGATAAAGGACAAAGGTTTGAACATTCAACCTAAACTACAGTCTAAATATCGGCCCCCACTTCAAATTTCATTCCTATAATCATCTAAAGATGGGTAATTTAACCGAGTACAACAAGATTGAATAGACCAATCATTCAATACAATAAAGGTCCATTCAATTATTAACAAACTATATGCACCTTAGTACACTGAATTTTCTACTACTTACATTAAGTGAGTATTACATGTACTAGCATTGTCCTTTATGAATAGTCTTATGTATCATGAAGTATGGTACAAGACAGGTTTTTCCTAAAAAGGATCTTATAAAGTACTCTTATTGTCATATTTTTGCATTTTTTTTTAATTTAAATTTGCTTCAATAATGTTGTTAAAATGTTTGCTTAATTGATTATGATTATTGATACTTAGGTATGTGTAATCGATATCAAGTTGTTGCATTTACGTTTGCGAAATTAGAATTGGGCACGAAATACTAGTATGCAATCAATATTTTCAATAATGATCATATCAATGCATGTTTCCTTGTTAGTTCTTACTCTTATGTATTAATTAAAATCATATATTTTATGGAATAAAGAGAAAAAAAAAAATACAAGTACAATTATAAATGTTGGGAGGAGTGGTACAAGATATATTAATAAAACCATTTGATTTAACTTTGTAAATGCATGCTATGTTGCAAAAAGTGATTGTATTAAGATCGTACCACTCTAAATTGTTATTTCCCATTCCTATCAATGTACTTGTATTAAAATATTTTATCCGGGCGGTAACAATTTATTGAAGGTAGAGTTGGAAACAATCTTGCTACATAGCAGGTACTCCCTTAATTCCACTAAAATTGCCCTAAATGTGTTTTATCATTTTGTAAAGAGTTTGTTCAAGAGAAACAACTATAGGGTTGTGAATTTGTCATTCTCCTAACTTTATTCAGTATCTCGCTATTCAGAAAAGAGTATGGGACAATTTCATTGGTACAAGAAAAACTGAAAAATAGGGCAAACCTAATAGGACGGCAGGAGTACTACACAACAAAGCCACATAGTGACAGGATTGATGAGAAAACTAATTCGTATGTACTTGAAAATGAATATTCAACATGTTGTTTGTAGTTCTTATCTCAGTTCATGGGAAGAAGAAGTGTGTCCTTTATGGGTTAATATAGGATCCCATGCAATTGATCATGGGTATACTTTGATGCTCTAAATTTTCAATCACTCTGGTTTAAATCCCATACACGGTCTACGTATTGTCTATTATTTGGACTTTCTTTCAGTGATCTTCAAGTTATGAGCTAATTTTCGTCTCTACTTTTGAAGGTTGCGACAACAAAATTAGAAGTATAAGTACTATGTTTGATGTTTCCATGACATATTCACTCATCACTTGAACAACATTGTTCCATGTAGATGAACATGCACGCGTGACTATACACGTATGAATCATGGGTTGTTTAAATTCCAATTAGAATCTTATTATCTGATCCTACGTACGATTATGAAACTTATGTGTAATCTTAATGTCTTGTAAATTTATAATTATTTAAAAGAATGTGATTTTATCGAATTGTAGCATTATATTAATTATTAATACAACTAAACTTGATCTTATATTGTTGAATGCACCAAACTTTGTCCGTTTATGAACAATAATCCGAATAATTTCCAACGTGACGCTTGATTAAACTTTACATGGCTATGTACAGTGACATCCTATTACATACGTAAGTTGTAGTAAAAATAAAATTAAATGATATGATGTTCATTATACGTATCTTTAATTTGTTACCTATATACTACGTATTAAATATTCTTTAACACTCCCATTACAAAGAAAAGCGCAGACTAAGTGCATATATGAATTCTCATTGAACAAACTAACCCATTTTATAATAATTAAGTATAGATAAGTTAATAAAAATATTGACACCATTTAATTTTATAGAAAATGTTAATCCATTTGAATCAGAATATTATTTAACCCATAACGTTGTCGATGATGATTGACAAGAAGCACATGCATAGAATTCAATTTTATGATAAGAAAATCATAGAATAAAATTTTTATTAGGCAATCCCTAGGAAACAAATTAAAAGCAGAAAATCTTTGTAGAATTCAAAAGCCAAACTAATAAACCAAAGAGTCAGCAAGAATTGCGGTGAAACTTGACTTGTCCTTAAATTTAGAGACATTGCATCAACTTGGAAACTACCAAAAATGCTTTTATTCTAGCTCATTTGAGTAATTGCGAAAGATTCCTTGGTTAAAATTTGTAGGACATCATCCTTAAAATTAAGGATTCTTTCAACAGGATATGTACTTGTCCCTTTATACTACTTCAAGGTGATCATAACGATAATCCGATAAAATATATACATACACGGTACGTAATCTTAGCTTGGTCATATATGTAAGGATATAGAAGTATAATATAATTTCTCCGTTCTTATAAGATTGTCTTTAGTCCCTTTTATCTTACTTTATTAAGAGAGTATTGAGTTGGTAGAGCTGAGTGAATTTATTTGTGAGGAATGAGGATTATATTAGTTGAAACAAAAATGAGACAATCTTTTAAGGACGATTCAAAATAAGAAATGGGACAGCTTTAAAGAGGTGGACGGAATAATATTTGTTTTTCCTACCGTGTAGGTTTATTTTGTTGTTTTATTAGGTAATATAGGAGCTAACGTAAGACTAAGGTATGCATAAAAGAAATGGGACACAAATAAAGCAGCATGCATATAACATAGTCATGAAAATTATAGGAAAAATAGTGTGTGGTTGTCATATCATTGTATTAAAATCGAATGAGGTTGGGATGTCTATTAAGACTCAATCTAAGAGTGCATATATTCATAGTTCCATATCTTTCACAGTGTATGTCTATGTCTTCCTTGTTTAGTCTTGTTAAATTGGGCGTTTATGGTGGGAAGAAGTGGTACTAAGCCATGAAAATGGCTTAGCTTGAAGGTGGAGAAGAAGAAATTATATGAGATGGGAGAAGAGAGAGAGAGAGAGAGATATTTGATGTTATTACCAAAAATGAAAGTAATGCTACAGTACTTCTAATTACAAGGATGTATTTATACTAATCTTGCCAAACTACTTTAGCCCTTAACTAATTCTGCTACGTATTAAGACTAACAAACTCAATTAAGGTGATACTCCAACTGTATACTCCAACAAGTCTAAAGTTCAATTATGTATCTTAGTTTGTTTCCTTTGTGTCTTTTGTCTTTATTGATTGGGATCACTGCCAAAAATTAGCATTAGTACATACTCATACTATGTGTAGCTCGAGGTGGCCAATGCCAGGAATAACAAAATGTTTTACTCACGTTATTTATGAAACTTATTTCTTATTATTTTGACAATTATTAGACTAGAAAAATTCATAATAAATCAGATGTTCTTAGCAACTACACGAGTTTCATCTCAAAGCTCTATCCGGCCTAAACACAGATAGAGTCATTTAATTTCTTTCCATATCTTTTGATACATATATCATTTTGACTTTAAAGAAGAAAAAAACATATCATAGAATTTTGACCATTCATAACTGTAAAGTTTTTTTTTAAAAAAAAATGTTGAGAATGTAAAGAATGTCATTAATAATTTAACAACATTTATACAGAGCAATAATGATCAGATTAAGACATCAACTTAAGTGATTTTATAAAAAAAATTAGGCCTTAACCCAATTCAGTGAAGGCTAAATCAACTATGGAACCCCTATCTAAACCCATGTATTACCTCGGTTCTTATTATTTGCAACAAGGTAGTATTTAGACCACTCTCAATGGTGAGCAAAAAAAATGCTCACCCACTCTCTCTCTACCCACTTTCTCTCTCAACAAATCTGTTTTGCTCATGGGCAAATTTTTTTCATAATTTCTCTCCCAATGGTGAGCAAAAAAAAATGCTCACCCACCACTCTCTCTCTCTTACTTTTTCAATACCCCACCATTGCTTTCTCTCTCCTACACAACACTTCTTTATTTATTTATTTCATTTATATTTTAACAATATTACTCCAAAAAAAAAAACTAGTTTAAATTTGGTTAATTTGTTTTTTTTATTGGTATCCTTTTAATCGTTAAAATTTGTCGTTAAATTAAGTACGTTATATGAAATAATTGAAAAAAAAATAATTACATATATACTTATTTTAATACATAACTACACGTACATATTAAAAATAATAATTAGCCAATAATTGCAACACTTTAATAACTATAAATTTAGTAATTTATTGAGAAAATATACACAACTTTGTTTAATTACATAATGCAATATACTTTCGTGACCTATAATATTGATTTTTTTTCAAAAAATCACATATATACTAATTTTATTACATAACTACATTTATATATATAAAAAAAATTAACCAATAATTGCAACACTTTAATAACTACAAATTTAGTAATTTATGGAGAAAATATACACAACTTTGTTTAATTACATAATGCAATATAATTTCGTGGCCTATAATTTTTTTTTTCATAAAATCACATATATACTAATTTTATTACGTAACTACATTTATATATAGCAAAAAAAATTAACCAATAATTGCAACACTTTAATAACTACAAATTTAGAAATTTATGGAGAAAATATACACAACTTTGTTTAATTACATATTGCAATATAATTACATGGCCTACAATTTTATTTTTTTTCAAAAAATCACATATATACTAATTATATTATATAACTGATTTTAAAAATTAAAAAAAAAAAAATTTACCTGAATATGGGTGAATTGCAACAATAATATTCTTCTACAAATTTAAAATACTTTTAAGAAAATTAAAATGTGGAGGATTTAAAGTGTTTATGAAATTATATGAAAATATATCAAAATGCATGTTTATTTATAGAGAATTTAATTTTATGACCATTGGTAATTTTTGTTTTTTTTTTTTTACAAAATATATTTTTCAGAAAATAGATTACAAATATATAACCGTTGCAAACGGCTATAATTTTCTGATTGGCTGGGATCCTGCGCATGCCATGTGTCGTCGACTCATTCGCCAGCGGACTGTCACACGTCAGATGCATTGATTTTATTTTTTTTTTAAATCTGCAACCTCAAAACGATGCGTTTTGAGGCGCGCCTTTGAGGCTGCTTCATCAAAACGCGTGGTTTTGATTATTGATCACCGAAATTTTTTTAAGTGGGTCTGCCAGTTGTGGGGCCCACACCGATTACTATTCATCAATAAAAATGCTCAAGTTTTAAGCTTTTTTGGTTTTGCTCATGGGCTTTTTTTTGGATTTCACCATTTTCTCACCATTGTGGTTGGTGATCATTTTTTTTGCTCATCAAAAATGCCCATGAGCAAAAAAAATGATCACCATTACTAGTGCTCTTATAATTTTATAGTTTTTCATCCGATTATTGGATATTTTATTATTGGGTATTTTTGTAATTGTTTCTCTCAAAGAAATGGGCCATAATTTTGCTAATCCATTAAAGGGATGGGCCAAATTTCTGTCATTGTTCATCTCAGCAGAATATGCCTACAGTCCAGTGTACAGTTTTTATTGTTATACTTTGGGCCTTTTAGGTCAATCTATTATCTTCTTGCATTGGGTCTTTAATCTCTATCTAATGGAACAATATCAAGACAAAAGCCTCACATAAAGTGGACATAAATCATAGTCATGTTGCTTAAGGATTAAATTTATACTCCGCATTAAAAAAAAATTATTCTAAGCTTAAGAGCTACATTTAACATTTTTCTTTATTCTGATCGCAAATCAAAACAATCACAATAATCTAATAAATTTCCAATCACCAATTCTCACTTTTGATCCCCACTTTCGAATTCCTCTTCTATGTATATGTCTGTATAAATTGTGTTATTATAACCTTTATTAGAATTCCTAATATATATAAAATCTTTTTACTGTATATTGCACTATTATTAGCCAACTTTTTAATTGATTAGATCATCTAGTTACATACAAAATCCAAAATAAAAAGTGGAGAATTAACCCTCAATAATAAAAATAAAGATGGTAAATCTTCTTTAAAATGTTCATAAATGGTCTCACATTTTCCTGCTCACATACTCAGCACAAGAATGTACATACATGTATACCTGAGTGCATATAAGGAATTCATCACAAAGAACGTAAACTGGTCCTTGAGTAAGAAATCTGATAAAATGTTCGATATTACAACAGGAATGACAAATAAGTAATGCATAAAAATTAAGCTAAAATTAATAAGATTGAGTTGGCTGAATCATATACTTGCAGTGGGTTGTATAGGGGCTCACCGGCTCATCCTTCATAATCCATGGGAGACGGCGTGATCAGTACTCGTAACAGGTGGTTGTTCATTATTTCTTCTTGACAGCCAAGCGCAGCAAAAACAACCACCGGAAAGTAGAATCAAACCGACTAAGGATGCTCCTATTGCTACCCAGCGAAGGTCTAACTTCAACTTGTCTGAGATGGAGCCTTTTAAAATAAATTAAACTCAAAACATGTTGAAGCAATATAATATAGTAGAAAGCAAAAGATGATTTGATTAACTTGAATTAAAAGAAACACAATACATCAATTTAAATAGTGTAGCATACTAACAAAAACAAACTAAAAAATAGGGAGCATAATCCCACTTCCTAATTTTACTGCATAAACTTACTAACCCACTAACAACCACTAAAATAGCATCCTAAGTTACTGCTAACACTAAACTTAGCTAAATAATAGCAACTAACTTTGAATTAGTCATTCAACACTTCCCCTTCATTCAAAGTTACATACTCCTAGTTGCATCCGGAAGAAATCATGCTTAGCTTGAGGAAGTGCCTTAGTAAAGATGTCAGCCACCTGCTCATTGGTGCCACAAAATTTCAGAATAATTTTCCCATCAGCTACAAGTTGTCGAACAAAGTGATGCTGCACATCTGAAATGCTGGATTTTTGCTCATTGAAATAGCTGACCTGTTGTCACAAAAAACATCAGTAGCTTCTGCTTGCACATAACCAAGATCAGAAAGTAATTTTCTAAGCCACAAATCCCGACGTGCTGCTAAAGTAGCTGCTGCATATTCAGCTTCAGAAGAAGATAAAGCTACTGTTTCTTGCTTCATTGAACTCCATGTTACTGCACCTGAACCAAGACTGAAAACACTCACTGAAGTGCTCTTACGATCATCAATACTACCTACCCAATCACTGTCAGTGAAGCCCACAAGTTTGAAACTTGATGTTTTTGAGTACCAAATGCCAAAGTCTATAGTTCCAGCAGCATATCGAAGTGTTCTTTTGGCTGCACCAAGATGTTGTCGGGAAGGATCATGCAAAAATCTGGATACCAAGCTGACGGGAAAAGCAATGTCGGGTCTAGTGTGTGTTAAGTAATTTAAACCACCCACTAGACTTCTAAATAGCGTTGCATTTGCTACTTCCGTTCCATCTTCACGTTGTAACTTTTCATTGACATTCATTGGTGTGACTGCAATTTCACAATCTGACATATTGAACCTCTGTAACAAATCTGCAGAGTACTTCTTTTGGCATACAAGAATTCCATCCAAGTCTTGTTTTACTTCAAGACCCAAAAAATATTGCAACAACCCCAAATCTTTCATCTCAAAAGTCTTCATCATACTAGACTTAAAGTTTGCAGCTAAAGACTCGGATGAACCCATAAAAATCATATCATCTACGTAAAGGCAAACTAGTAGCAAAATCACTATTACCTTCACGTTTGAAGTATAAAGTGGGATCATTTTCACTTCTTGTGAATCCATTGTTCCAAAAGTAGAAATCAATTCTGCTGTACCATGCTCGTGGTGCCTGCTTCAATCCATAAAGAGTTTTCCTCAATCTGTATACTTTGTCTTCAAAGCCATTTAGGACAAAGCCTTCTGGTTGGGCCACATACACCTCTTCTTGTAGATAACCGTTCAAAAACGCAGACTTCACATCGAGTTGATACACAGGTAACTTGAGCTGGGCAGCCAATTCTAACATTATTCTCATCGTCTCAAATCGAGCAACGGGAGAAAATGTCTCGTCAAAGTCAACACCTTGCTGTTGGGAGTATCCTTTTGCCACGAACCTAGCCTTGTGCTTTTGAATACTCCCATCAGCATTATATTTTGTTCAGAACACCCACTTCAGCCCTATCACATTCTTGTCTTCCGGAGCATCAACCAACTCCCATGTATTGTTCCTCTCAATAGCTGCCATTTCTTCTCTCATAGCAAGCTTCCATTCAGGTTGTTCTTCAGCTTCTTCAAATAAAATAGGGTTGGTGACCAGTAGAGCATAATTACAGGAACTATAAAGCTCTGCCAGGGATCTACTTCTTCTTATTAGAGTGTCACGACTGTCACTGCTGCCAGAAGAGCTAGGTGACTCGCTTGTGCTGCTATTTGGAGTTGATGGTGGAGTGCTAGCAGGTGAGGAGGTGGTTGAATTTGTAGCTGGTTGTTCAGCTTCACCATCTACCGGAACATAATCAGCAATGCTATCCTTGTCAACATTCCACTTGAATCGAGCTTCCTCTTTAAACACCACATTCCTGCTTATTATCACTTTGCCACTTACAAGGTTATATAAGCCATATGCTTTGGATTGAGAACAATAACCAATAAAGATGCATTTATCAGATTTATCATCAAGTTTAGAACGGTTTTTAACCAAAGAATAGCTTACACAACCAAAAATTCTCAAGTGGCTTACCCCGGGTTTCTTACCTCTCCATGCTTCAAATGGTGTTCGGTTGTAAACCGCCCTTGTTGGTGATATACTTAGGAGATACACTACAGTAGACACAGATTCTCCCTAAAATTTATTCAGAAGCCCTTTTGCCTTCAACATGCTCCTGGCCATTTCTACCGGTGTTCGGTTCTTTCGCTCTGTCACCCCGTTCTGTTCAGGTGTGTATGGTGCTGTAAGATCTCTTTGAATTCCATGCTCATCACAGAAAGCATTAAACTGATCAGACACAAACTCACCCCCTCTATTAGTTCGGAGAGCAATTATGTGTCTGCCACTTTGGTTTTCCACTAATGCCTTGAATTTCTTAAAATTCTCAAATGCCTCATATTTGAATTTTAAGAAATAAACCCAACTCATGCGAGAATAATCATCAGTTAACAACAAGAATACCGACTTCCACCTAGTGACTCAGATTTCATAGGCCCACACAAATCAGCATGCACAAGTTCAAGACATTTGGATGCTCTCCATGCCTTCCCAGTAGGAAAAGAGGCTATGCTTCCCATAAACACAACCTTCACAAAAACTGAGCTCACCTATTATTGGTAAGCCTACTACCATTTCTTTCTCACTCAAAAGTTTCAGACTACGATCATTCAAATGTCCATAATGTAAATGCCATAACTTAGATTCATTTGTTAATTTAGCAATCAATACATTGGTCATAACATCATTTGAAATATCAAGCGGAACCATTCTATTCTAAGTCATATGAACATTTGCTATACTATGGCCTGACTTCTTAACAATCACAACACAAACACCTTCATCAAACACAATTTTATAGCCACTACTCATCAATTGACCAATACTCAATAGATTATGAGCTAAATTAGGCACAAATTGCACATCATACAGGAGTTTTACATCACCTTGCACTATTTTGATGGCGATGATACCTCTTCCTGCCACTTGCATTTGTTTGTTGTCTCCTAGACGAACGTCTCTTGTTTTTGACTCATCGAGTTCTTTAAACAACGACCTTGCCCCGAACATGTGGTTTGAGCATCCACTGTCCAGAAACCACACATCATGGTTGCTTGAAGAGATGTGAGAATGGGCTATAAACAACGCTCTCATCTTATGCCTTCTCAGAGAAATTTGCTTGAGGTTGCTCATTTTTCTGTTTGGTCCAACAATCAACCTCTTTGTGACCCTGTTTCTTGCAATAGTGGCATTGGATTTGAGTCTTATGTTGACGAGAATCGTTAAAATGACCTCTGCCTCTACCATTACCATGATAGCCTCCTCGACCTTGGCCTCAACCTCCACGGAAACCTCCTCTACCTCTGCCATGGTTTCCCGAATTTTCACTCTTCCACTTAAAGGAAGACTCTCCTTTCACTTGAAATGCTTTTTCCTCCACCTTGGTAGCACTTTTCTTTATTCTACTCTCATGAGCTAACAGAGAACCCATCGATTCATCAAAGGTAAAGCTTGATAAATCCTTGGAAGCTTGATATTCCAATCATCATTCAAACTTCTCAACACCTTACTCACGATGGTCTCATTGCTAATTTTTTCACCATATGATCTCATTTGACTGATAATTTCAGTCACTCTAGACAGATACTTTTGGACATTCTCCTTCTCACCCATGGCCAATTCGGCAAAATCACTACGAAGAGTTTGCAATCGTACCTTAATTACTCTCGGATCACCCAAATACTCTTGTTTGAGTGTCTCCCATGCTTCATGTGCACTTGTGGCTGCTGTAATTCGGGGAAAGATGTCATCATCTAGTGTTGATTGAATGAAGAACAATGCCTTTGCATCCTTCTTGCGGTTCTTCTTCAATTGTGCATCAGGAATGGCCGGTGCTGGGTTTGGTTCATCATACCCATTCTGCACTCAATCCCATAGCTCTTGGGATTTAAACATGGTCTTCATTTTAAGACTCCATAAATAATATTTTTCCCCTTTGAAGATGGGAATTAAAGGTTGAGAGGATGGATTTGTGCCCTTTCTTGCCATTTTTGCTCACTCAATTTTGTGGGTTTTGTGTTTGAGGTTTTGGGTTTCTCATGGTGGAGCAGGGGACTTTCTCACTCTTGCTTTATCACTTTAACTTTCCTTTTTTTTTAATTGAAGTGAATCGAAACCTGATTATGCTCTAATACCACAATGTTGAAGCATTATAATATAGTAGAAAGCAAAAGATGATTTGATTAACTTGAATTAAAAGAATCACAGTACATCAATTTAAATAGTGTAGCATACTAACAAAAACAAACTAAAAATTAGGGAGCATAATCCCACTTCCTAATTTTACTTCATAAACTTACTAACCCACTAACAACCACTAAAATAGCATCCTAAGTTACTGCTAACACTAAACTTAGCTAAATAATAGCAACTAACTTTGAATTAGTCATTCAACGTAACAGAATACAATTACTTTGGGATGGAATCATAATTCACAAATTCTAGTATATATTCGTGTCATATCTATATCTATATATATAGATTTTATATATACGAACTACAAATTGAAGTATATAATTAAATAAAGCAATACATACGTGCCATCTCTTTACGTGTCATCATAACTTAGTAAGTGACATGGATCATGTGTTTCACACATAAAAATAGATTACCAGCATACCTAATAGAATTCAATCATATACCGAAAGGCCCATTAAATAAGTTTCAAATAAAAATTCTAAAGTTAGTTAGAGATCCAAAACTAATCCTGTCAGAAGTACTCAATCAGTATGTTAAATTTATTGGGTCATATTATAATATGTTTCAAATCTTTGATCAATTAAGAGAGCTAGTTCGTAGTTTGGGCGATGCCCCGGATTTTGTTTAAATATAAAATAAAAAAATTATCTTAAATTTAAATAATATTTTGAAAACATTATCTTAAGTTTAAAATAAAATTTAAAAAATAAAATAAAATATATGGGAATAGAAAAAGAGATGTAGTAGTAAACTTGTAAATATTACTTGTAAAATTGTTTAACTGGTATTGAATCTAGAAATTAGCAATTTAGCATTCAAGGAATCAACAACTATTAGTATGTGATTATTTCTTACTGATTAAATTGTAGTTTAATGTGCAATTAATTAGAAGTTACATTCTAGAAGAAAATTTATTACAAATGTTAGACATACAAAGAGTTTTAGTGTGATGACACATAGGATAATAGTTAAGCGCAGTTGCAGATGTTTGCCTGAAGCTACTAGGTCATGCATTATGGGGCTGTACAGAGTATTTATTTTCTGTCACCCACTTACAGTTATATGAAGTCTTGATTACTAAGAGATATATTAGCATTGCAATAATGAAACCTGCTATAAGTCTTGCCTCATTTTCCTGATCCTAGCATGGTTTGCAGTTTTTAGTGGGAGACCCAACCAGCTTAGTCCTTGATCCTATTTGTAATGAGGTCAATTTATTATGGTTATAAAAAATTTAGATGTATTTTTTAAAGCTCTAGAAGAGTGGGATCCTGAACTATCTGCTCATATCGTATCAGCTTCTCAGTTCCTCATAAGTTTAATCATTATAATTTGATTTGGGTTTCAATTCTTTCTTGCAGCTGAGAAGGATACTAAGATGGGTACGTGCTCATGAGTTCAACTAAGATGCCCCGGTAGATGACGAGGAAATTGAAGGTAAGTGGATACTCTTTGGTCTGGTAGACTTCAGGGACACAGTGTAGCACATAAAAGATGATGACTCTGCATCTGGGTGCAGGCACCAAGGAATCATGGATTGAAATTGATAATACCAGTTCTCTGTAGTTCATTTTAACTTTTAAATGTTATCCTCAATTGCCTTCTACTCAGTACTACATATGTGCATTGTATTTTTGTGTTTCTTAGTTCTGTTTTAGGCGTAAACTTTGAACTCATCTTCTCCTTCATTACTATGTTGCAGAATGTGCCTCCTGCAGCACTCCTTTGATTCTTGCGA